AGTAAGATCATGGACCTCCAACAGCGTTAGGAAAGGCACAATCCTAGGTGACGATGATGTAGGTGGCACGGGATGTTCAAGGCCTTGAATAAGGAGAGCTTCGGTCAGTGAATTGGTTGATCTTCCAAGGTACGAAGCTCACTTCGGAAGGTGCTTAACGAGTGTATTCTTATCGTCCTAGCTGATGGCGATACTTCATTTAGTGGTTCAGGGGAGAGCATCTCTTCTAGATATCCTCACCTCGTCCCCCATGTGCGGATCCTTCTCTTGTACCTTAAAGCCATCAAAACTTCGAGAGCTATTTAATGACTTAAGACGAAAAGTTGACTTCAGTCCTTCAGTCCATATGGCCACATGACCGTCCATATGTATTCCATTGAGTGTAGGTCAGGAGATCCTGCTTGCGGCGGCGCGGCGATTCGCTTGCATGGCAAGTGAATTAGTTACTCAAAAGAGACCACTACATTGCATTGCGAATGAATATGTAAGGCTCTCGTCAGCACGAATCAGGGTCAGTTGAACTCTCAACAAGGGAGGGGGGAGGAGGAAGGGAAGTGGAGCTTCCAAAGGGGGTTCTGGTCGTGAAAGCTCGAGAAGATGGCAGGTCCAGCGACGGTATGAATTGCACCGATTATTCTCCGAGTCAGTCGGGCGGACGTCGTTCCAATTTTGAAAATTTTCTCAACCTATCAATCGACTGACGAATTGATCTGAGCATGACGATTGAGCTCCCTTACCTGAACTAACACCTAGTCGGAAATGACTGTGGTTGCTAAAATAAACTTAAAGGAGGATCCCGCGATAGGGTCGAGGATAGAGGTGTGGAAAACTTATTTAGTAAAAAGTCGGACGGACCCTATGAGGGGCAGATCGACACGCAGTTTGCAGCAAAGCCCTCCACCTAGATCGCTGGGGCGTGGTACGCCCACCGACCGGCTGACTACTCGCTGCAGGTCTCTAGCCCTCTTTCAGAGAGAGAGAGAGAACGTTGGCGTTGAAGAGGGCAGCATCGATGAGAGTCGCATCAATGCGGGAACCAATGACGGAAAATCTTTCCACATTCTTGAATTCTGGCTTTTTTTCTGATTTTATCTATAGTCATTTTTAATCTAACACACATTGACATCACCTCTACCTTTTGATTTCTACAATGCTTGCCTTCCAATGTAAACATCCACACATTTAATACAGCTGCCGACGAACGCCAGCTCAAATCGTGGTCTGTTTACGATTTCCGTAATATTATAAAACATGGACTTTTACAATAGCCATCATAAAGTGGTCTCATGGGCGAACTGGCGTTTGTTTCTACTACGAATCCCGCATCCAAAAAAGGGCAAACAATCCTCACTTAATTGAGTCAACTGTTCTGCTGTCGAGCTGTATGAGTGATGAAGCACGCTCGTTTTTCCTTTGAGGCAGTTCCCACAGCGCCAAAGCATCCTTCAACCCCATGAAACGATCACGTTTATCGCACTTTTATTTTTGAAAGTCCGAATGTTTTGGTGAGTGGGCAAAGACTAGTCAAGGGAGAAATAATAAACTGCACATGGTGTAACATAGAAGGGGCGTTCAACGCTCACAGGTTTAACGTACGATGAGCTTTGACCCTCGGGATGTACCAAATTTGTCGCGTGCAATTACTTGGCAAAGGCATATAAGCCTACATGAATGCTCAACGGCTTGAGTCACTCCTCCACTTAGCATCCCTGGTCCTCGTTTCCGATACTTCACGCTTCTTGTGCTTCCACATCTATTTCTATCCCAGGTGCCTGTACAAACTCATACTGCTGATGTTTGGGGATAGCAGCGCCGCTCGGAACGCGCGGCATTTCGCACGTCCATGCAGCCTAGAGCCTGGGCTAAGTTCTACAACCGTCTACATGCTAATGTTGTTGGGGAGAGGCAGGTGCCGCTGCGACGCGCGGCTTTTTCACAACATTTCATGCAGCGTTGAGCCCGGGGGCTGAGGTAATGCCAGGGAGTGGAGTGAGGAGTGTGAAGCGAGTGTTCGCTTTACACGCGTGAAACAACAGAGATGTGGGAGCTCACACTACGTAACTGAGAGGGCGCAGATGTGCCGCACGCCGCGATACCCTGAACTACGTTAGGCTGGTATCAGAGTTCGCGACGATTCGCGCGAATCGCAAGTGCCAATTTGAACATTTGAAACACTGAATATGAAACAAGTAGAATCATGAGCAGTCGTCATTCAACCATCACCATCAAGCAGAAATGGCGGCGGGATTGGAGAGCACCTCGCAGTATTGATCGGGCACTTCTTTCCGCGAATCGCGCGACGGATCGCGGACTCTGACACCAGCCTCAGCGCCACCGTCCACGGCCTAGAGGAGATTGCACTTATTCTCAACGCGTCCGTTGGTATCCTCTACTTTAACTTCACCATATACTCCTCATCTCGCCATAATCTTCCAGCAAAATAGCCATACCAATTTAGCTATGGGGTGTGCCTCTGAAGGAAGCGACCGCACTGGTTAGAGGTCGTGAAGAGCTCCACACGTCATTGACGGAGCGAGTTGAGATAAGAGCTGCGTTAGCGGGCGTTCAGCGTAACCCTTGGAGGATACCTGACAGAAGGTTCGTCTCGCGGCGAGAAGGCAGAGACGCAGACGGGTCAGGGGACAAGTCGCAGCGCGGGGCCTTCTGTCGGTACCCTCCACCCCATGGAAGATACGATAAGTAAAGAAGAGACGGCTGCCTGGTATAATTTTCTGTCCAGGATGACCAGAACGAAAATCGATCTCGAAAAATGATGGCGGTATCATATCTGTAGGCCGATGTCAGACTTTGCGAATCGCGCGATTCGCTAGCGTCTGCGGTCGCGTCGCGGCCAGTGAATCACTCAATTGGCTGGTACCGCAACGCGACCGCGGACGCTAGTCTGACATCCGCCATACGCTGCCTTTGCTACCCGTTTCACGTCCAAAACCTAAATAGAGCAAAGTTTCGGAAGTTCGGAGAGTTCTTTCCCGGCACATTAAGGCGTCAAGCGCCCCTGAAGCGCCACCTGTTGTGTAGGTCTCCTACCTAGTGAGAGGGTAGGTGACGCTACCCAATCATCTATGTAACTTTCCCAATCGTTCCCATGGGATTTATCCTCTTCCTCTAATCACAAATCATTCCCAATCAGCGATCGAGCCTAATATGGTCAAACCTCTCCTTTGCAGGTTCGTCATGCCCGATCGTCGTCTTGTCCTCACATTGCCGAGCTGAGTATTCCTTTGCTCTCCAACGTAGACTGTGACTCTGTGTGTGTACATATCGGGCTGTCATACAAAATTGTGCTAGGGGGCACAGCAATGAACTGACTAGGCATTCTAGGGGCCAAAACAGCGGTGCGTGTGCGCATAGATCCTGTATTATACTGAACTAAGTATTGTATTATAATTACACGGCATAGTATAAGTATAGAATGTTCAGACATTGAAGATATACAAATATGTGCTATACAAATATAATAAAGGTTATAATACTACAGATCACAAATGTCGCATTATTCCTATCCATACATCTGTTAGCTGCGATCCCAGCCAAGGTCCTTATGTTTTTGTTTTTATCTTAGCTTTCAAGACCATCCACCCTATTCATTGTTTTAACCTGATTCTCAATAAGCGTAATGATGTCATTCTCTCTTCAAACAATATGATATGGTTAATTAATAATTATGTTATTATAAGTATTAGCACCATCGTTTGGGCTAATAGTGACCAAATCAAACACCAAAAGATTTGATAACGAGAGACTGACCGTGGGAGGAGAGTATGAGGCAAGAGAACGCTACAGAGAGGTAGCGCCAAACAACAGCCCGCTGAAGCTGTTAGGGCTGCCTTTGCAAAGCTCTAGCACTCCTGTTGGACCATTTCCCGCGGAGCGCCACATGGGTGATTGTCCATAAGACGTCTATCCTGCAAAATCGAGGAGAACGTTCGCTCGCTCCTGCGTGGCTTTATGCCTCATTTGCTGCCCATTTTCCCACCCCAGTGACGCCGCCAAACACTGCAAAGTCTGCGTGTATTAAACACCTTCATATGCGGAACTTCCTTAAGTTTCAAAAATTTATTATTAAGTTATGCGTTGGTATAACGACAATCACTAAAGCATAAATTTCATTGGGTACACTTTACAGAAAAATCTTCTTCAAAATGCTCTCTGAAAGATCACTACAGCATATTTAACAGGCAATGAACAAATTTGAAATCATAGTAATTATTTACAAATCAAGCTTCAATTAATCAATTTTACTGGCTTGTTCTGTGAGAACTGATCAGGACAGTTACAGCTCTCAGGCTAGAATCAACAGCACTTGTTTATCATGGAAAACAAAGGCGAGACCACAAAGTGAAAGAACGAAGTCAGATATTTCAACTAAACACACTCATCTAAATTACTTTCAATGAAAGCTCAGCGGCTGACTTTTGAGGTCAACGCCAGGCTGTGAGCTTCAGGATCCGTGTTGTAGAATTGATGACTCCTAATCACTCAAAACAAGTAGCAGCAATATGTACAACTAAAAACTCCGACGACTATCTTCCAAATAAGTTGCCGAAATTCCCTCCTATATTATTGAGATCAAAGCCTGTGAACTTGCTGCAGAGATCTGTCCAGCAGCCGCGGCAGCAGCCTGAATTTTGGTGGTCATTATGCGATTTGAACTTTACATAATGTATTCACACCAATACCGTACCTGCTTCCCTTGAGGACCTCCTTGCTTGATGGCCTGCGCATTTTTTAGAGATTGCTGAATGAGTCCCAGCAGTCCCAGATCTTCACCATCTCCTCCACTGGTTGGAGCTACTGTCGGCGATGGTTCACGAGAGCGTAACCGGTGTCAACGGAATGAGTAATACAATAAATCATTTAGCATTACCATATCCAGGCCTGAAAGTGTGTCCCAAATGATCCACCTCCTCCAACCCCCGATCTCCTATCAACTTTCTGTTCTCCTCCCATTCCTGCAGCTCTGCTCCATTCCTCTTCCCCCTCGCATAGCTCCTGCGCCCTCCTCCGATTCTCCGAATCCCCTCCAATTCCTTCAGTTCCCTCCCAACCCCCAGGCTCCTCCCAATCCTCCAAGCCTCTCTCCCACCCAGCGCCCACCATTCCTCCAATCCGCCCATCCCGCCAGTCCAGTGACCTCCTATACGGACGTGGATAACCCTACACCATATCTCCCAAAACCGTTAGTGCGGGCAGCGCTTGGAGGTGTGGGAGGAGGAAGAGGTGTCCACATAGTGGTTGATGTCGGTGGATCCGGAGTTAGCACAAGCGGCGATGGAGTAGATCGCACTGAAATCAAACAGATTCAACTCATGACACATTTTCTACGGCTTTGTACAAAGCGTAGACCTGTCTTTTAGACCAAGAGCTGTTCCAATACTTCCTTAAAAAATCTTCCTAAAAATCTATAATTTTCTAACAATGAATAACAGCGTAAACTCCAAACACAGTATTGGTAGATCATTGCCAAGCAGTGCACCAGCTAGCCTCATCGCTCACATGTGGCCACCTCTGCCCTCATGGGCCAACCGTTTTTGGAACTCTAACTGTGACGCTTTAGAACCGTTCACAAAAACACCATGAACATCTAATGGATCCTAGAGATGGTGATTCATAGGCTTTTATGGACCTATGTGAAATAGTCTTAAAACGATTTCCAAATCGCTATTCGCCTAACTTCACTCACTATAGGCCTCGCAATGCGTTTATTTCGTCTAAATCTATTTACAACAACTTCAGAAGAGCCGTCTCACGCGACCGGATGAGGGTTAAACGCTGAAAATTGTCCATAACTATTACTCCAACAGTTTTTGAAGGCTGACTACTTTAGAACAAATCCTACGTCGCTTACAGGGTGGCTACTAAATATGGCGCACTGTTTATTGACCATATTTTAAAAAGAGCAAGCTATTAGATCTTCCAAAAGTTTATTTTTATATACAATAAAACATAACAATGCATAACCAAAAAAGGTGCCCGGAATGACCTCCTTCGGCAGCGATACACGCTTCAAGTTTCTTCTCAACTGACATCACCGTGGGCCGCATGTAGATGACGTCGACGTGACGCGAGTAGGTCTTCAGACCAGAAAGTGGCGCACGATTTGCAAAACGACAGGCAGTTGTTGGATCTGGCTAGCAGACATTCTGCTCGACCTTGTGTACACACAAGGAACCGTTTTTCAAATTTGTCATGGTTTGGGCAGGAATTACTTCTGAAACCATGACACCGCTTGTCTTTGTGGATGAATACATCAAAGCCAGCGCCCAGATCTACCCGGAAACAATTTTCACGTGATGCCCTTCTTCCAAGGACTCTTTTGACCTTCAGCGAACGTCATTGCATTCTTCAGCAAGACAGGGCGCCTCCACATGCCGCAAAATCAACGCTGGAGGACTGTGACCATCATTTTCCAGGTTACTGGGCACAAAAGTTTGGCCATCTAGGTCGCCCTATTTGAACATAATGAATTTGGCGGTGTGGAGATTCCTGCAGCAGAAAGATGCCTTCTAAGCAACATCGAAGTTTGGACTCCCTGAAGCCTTCCTTGGAGAAGGCGTGGAAGGAACTCTACGTCAGCTACTTGCGGCCATACAAGATGTCGTTGAGAGAGATTGAAGCTACGCTGGCAAAAAAAGCCATTTCCCAAATTCCTTATATGTATTGCTATATTCTTATGTACAGGGGGGCCAAAAAAAGACATTTTGCCTATGTCGGACTTCGGCTCTTTTTTCTTCGCAGAGATTGCTGTCGTTGACGGGAGTTCCTCAGCAGAGTATTTCCCTAAGTGTCCTCTATTAGTGTACGCAGGCTCTCCTTCACTGCCCTCACCGTCTTCAGAATATGACGTCATCTGTCACCGTCGTCAGGCTCAAGGAGGTCTACCGTAAGAGCTTCAGCCTGAAGCTCTTACGCAATTTCGTGAATCGATTTAATGTTGGATAGTTTTCTAGAGGCATTAGCTACCACTGTGCAAATCCCCTCGGAACTAGCTTTCCAGTAAGGGTCGTTATGGTACACGATCCTTCGAAGACCCCATTGAGATCGACCAGTGCACCATGTTTCCAGGGCTAATTCTTCTGATGCCGTCCACGTACGTGGCCACTATGAAGATTTTCTTATAGAATGGAATGCACTCTTTAATAATAAGTTGGAACCGTTCGGTCTGAGTTGAGTAAAATGTGCTTAAATCCATCTGGAAGTGGAGGCAAAATGTCTTTTTTTTTTTGGCCCCCCCCCCTGTATATAGATAAACTTGAAGATGG